CCCGGTATCTAAGAAGCCCAACCCTTAGGGGCTGCCCCTCTGAAAAGCTTCCCCTCTATGTTATTTTTTGAAAAGAGAAGAAATTGACATTATTCCTGGAAGGTTTGGCAGAATTCTCTTCGCTTGGAGAAGAAAAATCACGGCAGTTTTAAAGAATTGCCGTTGAACAGTTTTTCATTAAAAAAATTAAGTATGATAGAAAATGTGCGACATCGCAAACCTAAAGATGTGATCGCCGACTTACACCGTCGATATGTTCTTTCAAAGAAATATTATGAAAATTCAAGGCAGGAATCGTTTTTCTAATTTTCAGCCGAAACTCTGTCTTTTGCGGTCGCTAATAAGTTTTCCGTGTCTCCTGAAAAGTTACCAATGTGGCGGTTGTGGTTCTTTCGTTGGATGGTGACGATCCCCATTGAAGCCTAAATTGATCAACCAATCAGAGGGCGGCACCCTCCGAGGCACTACTCTACTGCTCCTGACTGCTCCTGCTTCATAACAAAAACATAAACAAACGTCTCAACCTTAAAATCGATCATTATCATTATCAATATTATTACCTCTCGTCAAAATCCTCTTTCGGATGTGTTTCGCTTTAGATAACGTCGTTGTTTGTTTCTGACTTAAATTTTGCAAAAGTATCTCGCACTCTCAATCAAGAAATGTATCCTCTCCGTAACCTGGGTGACTTTGTAAGTGCAAAATTTAAAGCTTTCATTACTTGAGCATTGATCGAATTCGTGTGTTTATAATGTCCGTTTGCCGTTAATACCCTCTTAGCAACAAAGCGACTACTGTATCAGTCATTACAAGTTTGCTACATAATATTTGCTAGCTTTTGGTGAACCTCCAGATCCCTGTTATAATTGTACTCAATTAGACCGATCCGCCTCACAGTAAGTATCATCGCTACTCATCTTTTTGTTAAATTTCTTGCTCAAGGACTTACTGTGAAAGTATATGAAGCTAGAATCTATCAGAATTTTTCTTGGGATACTTTTCCTCGGGTAAACAAATGTGTTTTACTCTTGGACCTTGCAGGGAAATATATCCCTACTTGACGATCAGTTCAAACTGCTCGGTGACCAGTATAGTAAACAAATCTGTATTATGCCCAAGCAAGTCTGTAGCTATGTCCAAGCAAGCTTTTTGATACAAGCAGAACAATTCTTTTTTAATGAAAGATTGAGAGATGTGCAGCGTAAACCTGACTGTGATCACAGTCGCAAATTGCGCTGAATGAATATGATCGTGACTCTGAAGAATGTTGTACCCTTATATTTGCAAAAGAACTAAGAGCAATAATGGCATTCTAATGTGAATGTTAATGAACTTTCCATTTCCAGTGAGTGCTTTTCCATAAATGTAGAATATTAGATTCGTTTCAAACTGGAGCTAGTATCAATGCTGATTTTTCAGATTGGGGCTCTAAGTACCAGAATTTATTAAACATTTAGAGTGATCAAAAGTTGTTGTGCATTGTCTTGCGTCAATTTTTGTTGCACTTGTATAGCTTTAGCTGCACCAAGAGTTGCCTGTTAGCAGTGTTCATATAAACATAGTTAGAATGTACGTTCAATAAGTTTACGCACTTGTAGACTGCGGCAGAAGATCCTCCATCTTGCTTCTTGCATTTACTTTGTATGCAAAAGTGACTCCAGACAATCTTCTGTGGCAGTCTAGCAGTGCGTAAATTTATTTGGCAGGGACTCTAATTGGAGCATTACTTATCAAGTTACCTGAAACAGCTCATTGTTGTACAGTCAGTTTTCAGGACTTAACTCTTATTTGTGATTTTAATTCAAATGAGGACATCGGACAATTAAATTGGTTATCAATCCAATTCCAGGTTCTGAGGCGATATGGCAAATTTGGACTGATTCAAGAGCTATGGCATTCTCGTGTTTTTCATAATACTGATTTGCAATGGCTGTGATATTCTTGCAATAGGTATTCAACATATTGAAGGTGAAACTACCAGACCTCGTATCTCGTTTGCGGTGTTTAAAAATCTCTGCTCCCATTTTATTTTTTTGAAGAGAACAAATCAATATCATTTCTTGAAATTTTCAGAATTTACTTTGCACCAAGAAGAAGCACACGAAAATTTTGAAGACTTGACGTTTAGTAGTTTGCCATTTGGTAAATAAAGTATGACAGGAAGTCTCCAATATTGCAAACTGAGATACATCGACTGGTAGTTTCAGCATCGATATCAATTTTGCAATGTTTCAAACCAAAACAATAGAACATGACCGTTTTTTCATTCATCACTTTCATTCTTTGGAAGCTAAGTTTATGATTTTGGAAGTAATCATAAAATTCATGTGGTGATGCTGACGCAAGTAGAGACAGTTTTAATCCTTTTGCGTGAAAAATTCTTCAGAAGTCATTAGTTAGGCAATCCAAGTGCACTGTCTCACGTTTCTGGACTGTATTTTATCATGTGATGTTTTCTGTAGTAGGTGGGTACCATCTTTTTAAATACATAATCGATGTTACATTTTCTCCCTTTTTATTTTCTGTTTCAGTACCTAGTATACTATCTCAAGAAAACGTTCGTCTTTTGAATCCCTGCATCGGTGAGGCTCTTTTTGTTATAATTTCATCATAAATTTTTCCAATCTAAATGATGGAAAGTTTTCAATAGGAGCTGTGAAAATCATCATTCCTCAAATGATGACATGTAATTTCATCTCAGTATTTCAAAATTTCCATCAAAAATGGACCTCCACACAGGGCAAGAATTGAACATCTAAAAGGCATGAGTTTTCATCAAATCTTCAAACAAAACGCGTTGAACATTTTGAAAACTTCCAACAGCAAGTCACTAGTAAAGAAGAAATATTCATATTTTATATGGTAACCAGTAAATTTAAGTTACCTGCTTATCAAAAAACCTTAGGTACCTAGTCAACAATGGCTAAAATTTTTTACCTAATCAATGCTATATATCGCATGCTAGTTTGACCGCATCACATGAGCTTGACGAATCACCCTAATTGGCGTGTGATTAATTCAACCTTTGCGGCGAAATGTCAAGTAACCTTAACTCGACTCTTTCTGCAGAAAAATATTTTTGCACTGATAGAGAGATAAGTAGCATTGAGTTTTTGCCGTAATTTTCTCAGTAATATTGCAATATTTTTACTTTATTTTATCAATATATAGATGAGCAAAGCGCGAAACCACGTATCTCGATTGCGGTGTTTCAAAATCTCTGCTCCTATTTTATTTTTTTGAAGCGAATCAAGTCAACTATGCAGCTTGAAATTTTTACAGAAATTCTGCCATTAGAGAAGAAAAATCCAGTAAGTTTTCAGCACATTAAGTTAACTCGGTATACAATGAAAAAATAAAGTATGGCAGGAAGTCTGCAACGTCACAACTGGAGATATGTGGTTTCGTAAAGTTCAATGAGGAGATGAGTCCTCTGTTTCCTTATTGAAAATTCAAAGCAGTCCGATAAGATATCGAATTGCGATATATTGCATGGTTAAGATAGGGCTTTGTCTTGTCGTGTCTGGCTGAGATAGTTTCAATGATCGGCTGGTGGCATCGGTTTTAATAAATTTAGATTACACGGTGAAAGCATCAATACTGTATCGAAACGTTGCTTATCTAGTTGCTGAATGAGCTCTAATATGTTGAAATTAATTGCAATGAAATTCAATTTCTTTTTGCATCTCAAATGGCTATCTCTCTCCTTATTGTCTGCTTGGGTAGATCGAAATCTTTCGTTTATCGAACGATTTAAACTTATTTTCATTGCAATAAATTCAAACTTGATTTCTTTCGTTTCGTTGCGAAATTCTATTTCAGCATTTTTCGTTAAGATAGGCAATTATTGCAGTGCAACGCAACATTTGAACTCATCTAATTATCGCACTAAATCAATTGTAAAAGCCCTTCAATTAGCAGGCATGCAACATGTACAACTCTACGATGCAGTCGCAACAACTTAACCCCGCAATCGAAATTTATTGCTACATGTGCTACTTGGGCTTCAATACCGAAAGTCATCGCAAAATGAGCTGTTTTATTTCAAACTCTTCTCTACGCAAATTGATGGATGCATGAATTGAAGAGTTTGCCTTTAGAGGAGCGAATTTTATAATTGGATTACATTTTGCAATAAGGAACCACTATTTCTGGCTCATTTTAGAAACAACATATATCGACGGTGTAAGTCGGCAATCACATAACTCGCTTTGCGACGTCGCAGACTTCCTGTCATACTTTATTTTTTAAACGGAAAACTACTCGACGGCAATTTTTTGAAACTGCCGTGATTTTTCTTCCTTGTGCGAAGAAAATTCTATAAAAACTTCGAGGAGTTATGTCAATTTGTTTTCCTATAAAAAAATAACATAGAGGCGGAGATTTTCAAACACCGCAAACGAGTATTGTGATTGCGGACTTACACCGTCGATATGCCATTAATTTCCCTATGCAGATACGTGCTTTTATGGAAGAGCTAGAGACAGTGGTTCCTTTTTGCAAAATGAAATCCAATTGGTCATCCAGGGTGTCTAGCATCAGGAAAAACCAGAAAATATCAGGAATTTTGGCCGATCAGGAAAAAATCAGGAAAATCGGAAAAATCGGACGTGTTATCAGGAATTTTTCTCACGCAAAGTTTTTTTTCCCTTCAGCGGAGAAGTCTTACTGCTTTTTGCCTATCGTGCCAGGAGCCGTCGCGCCGTCTTTGTTTCCGATAATTTCTCACTTGTCGTATAGGGAATGCCTCATGGCAGTGTCACCGTCTTTACGAAATCAAAATTTTCCGTCCATCTGCAGCGCCTGTATTTTATTTGGAATAGTTTATATCTGTCTTTTTTTTTAATGTTACCCGCACTCCGTCAAATCACTAATTTTATCAAAGTTTTGAAGTTATTCTTAATTTGTTTGCATTTTGTGCGAAGTACGTGCAAGGAAATCACACAATGGAATCCATCGACAGTCGGCAGACTAGTTTCTAATCATAAGAACTTTATCAGAATATTTAGTTTCTGCATGCAGTTATGCAATAAATATAGTTTTTACGAAAGAAATCAGGGAAATATCAGGAATTTTCAAAATGAAAAACCAGGAATTTTTTTATAAAATATCAAGGAAATATCGGGATTTTTCAAAATTAAAAAATACTAGACACCCTGTCCTCGTTTCGAAAATCAATCATAAACATCAGTGCTCCTTTGAAAATACACCGTCACGTATTAAGGTGATTCCGCGGACGCCATTTTTTGTGTCAGAGCGATGTGGGATATATCGCATCGATTTAGTCCATAATTTCAGCTACTTTACCATATTTTTGAATTTTGAGATCGCTTTTCTGTTGTCATGAGTTTAATAAAGAATTCATGTACCAAATTTGACAAAGAAATTCAACGTAATAAACGCGTGGTTTTTTTAGAAAAAAAAATACCGCATTCGATACCGACATCGAAACTGCACTCGAATGCGATATTTTTCCTCTAAAGAAACCACGCCTTTATTACGTTGAATTTCCGTTTCAAAATTGGTACGTCAATTTATTAGTCTCCTGTCAACAGAATTGCGATCTCCAAATTCGAGAAAAATGACGAGTAGCTGAAAAAATGGAACCATAATTGATGCGACATACCGCATGTCGTTGTGACACAAAATATGGCGCCTATCGAATCACCTTAATGTTAATTCGACGCTCCTACGCCGAATTAAAGGCCTAAATATCCACAGACACTTTCCTAAAGCTTCGAATGAGTTTTGTTCAAAATAAATGTTCTTCAAAGACGCTCATCTACGGGCAAACTCTCTATTTGAGAGGCTTGGAGAACAAGGTGCATGAGTGCATCTTTTGAAAAAATTGAGGTATTAATGCATTCAAGTAAGACTTGCTCTGATGCATCCTCTGTGAAAAATTCGCTCCCAAATTCCAATTTTTAAGCTTTTTAAAGTCAGTTTGATCTTACTTTGCGCCATGAGGATCCAAGTAATTTCGAAACTTCAAACACGTATTTCTCGAAATAGCATAAAACGGCGCTTATGCGCCTTGTCTTCCAAGCCCCTTAATAACTGTGATACTCTGCTTAAGGCATAAAATAGTAATTAAAAGTAAATAGGTTTGGCGGGTATAGGATTTCAGGGTAGTTGTAGGTTTTTTGTGAGTGGGGAGTTCGAACTTCCTGAATCTAAGGGCAAATATATAAACACTAATTTTCTATTAATCAGTTAATTGCAGGTGGTTTTGACATGTTATACGTGTTCTGTTTATTTTAACGTGATTAAAAGTATTTTATTGTGTTTTTATGATTGGGAAATCTGCAGAATTGAGCAATTAAAAATGGAAACGTCGAACATTCTAGCGTTACGTCTAAGTCCCCAGAAAGTTGTTAATAGTATTTATTGCACGTGCGTACTTTTAGTGAATCCGAGATTTTCTGTTTAGTATTTTAAGGACAGCCCCGCACAGCAAAAATGGACCACTAGACAAGGTACGAATTTAAGCAATCTGATACATGTTTCTTAACCAGAATTTCACGTAGAACACGATTCACACTACGAAAATTACCGAAATCAACTTCTGACGAAGATATTAACGTTTTTATTTCGCACTGATTACGAGGAATTTGAACTGTCCGCTCACAAGAAACTCAAAGCTCTACGTGAGTCAAATCGCGCACTACAACGGTTTCAGCAAGCTTCTCAATCGAGCAATGTTCATTTTCCACCATGTGTTGTTCAAACTATTGGTAATTTGCTATAGCTGAGCCAAAGTGTCAAGATTGAAGTTGAAGATTTTTACATCGCAGAGACTGTCATGATAAACATTTAGCGCGCGATGTGAATCACGTAGAGCATTGAGTTTTCATGAGCGGGTGGTTTGAATTCACGCATCAAGAATCATTAAATATCTTCGTCAGGAATTGATTTTGGTAATTTTCGTTGTGCGTATCGTGTTCTACGTGAAATTTTGGTTAAGAAACATGTATCAGAATGCTGAAATTCGTACCTTGTCTAGTGGTCCATTACTTGACTAACTTTTTCAGCCTAGCGTTTAAGTCTCCAGAGATAAGCTGTTTTGCCTGTAATGGATCACTAGACAAGTAACGAATTTAAACAATCTGATTCATGTTTCTTAACAAGAATTTCACGTAAAACACGATTCGCGCAACGAAAATTACTGAAACCAACTCCTAACGAAGATATTAATGTTTTTATTTCACATTTCTTACGAGGAATTTGAACTGCCCGCTCACAAGAAACTCAAAGCTCTACGTGAGTCATATCGCGCACTACAGCGGTTTCAGCAAGCCTCTCAATCGATCAATATACATTTCCCATCATGTGTTGTGCAAACTATAAGCAATTTGCTATAGCTGAGCCAAAGTGTTAAGATTGAGGTTGCCAGATGTTTATATCGCAGAGACTGTCATGATAACGTTTAGCGCTCGATGTGAATCACGTAGAGCATTGAGTTTTCATGAGCGGGTGGTTTGAATTCTCGCGTCAAGAATCATTAAATATCTTCGCAAGGAGTTGCTTTTTGTAATTTTCGTTGTGCGCATCGTGTTTTACGTAAAATTTTGGTCGAGAAACATGTATTAGAACGCTGAAAGTACCTTGTCTAGTGGTCCATTCTGCTTTTTCAAAATTATTCTTCTTCGATCTATAATGTTCAGGCTACGTAGTTCGTGTACGTATGTCGCATGCAAATAGCCAAATCAAGCATTTCGTTAAATACTCAAGCATGCAGAAAGTTTACGATGTTTCGTATGTCCTTACAAAGGCGTTTCAAATTTTCAATATTTTGAAAATAAGAATTCATCAAAACGTGACGATTTGCGGTTTGTGAGTTTCACCATGGATACTCCTCTTCGTTGACATTTCGCTCACCATTTCCGAAAATGTCTGTCCAGGATCGTGAATGGACGAAACCAAGGAGGAATGCAGAACTCCGAAACAACCGAAGAACCTTCAAGAAAGCATCTCAGAGGGCGCATCAGACACGAAATGTGAGGAGGACCCTCCGGATAACATCCCGGAGGCTATTCAGACAGTATTCATTAAGTGCGAAGTACCCGAATCGGACCCAGAACCAACTTCTGACACTGAATTTTCTGAGTTCGGCGCTCAGAATGTGAACAGAGGGATCGGACCTTCCTCGTGTGAAGGAAGTGCTTCCCTGGAACAGCCCCAAGCAGGCTCCGCGGAGGCCGCCAGACTCTCGACCGAAGTGGAGAAAAGTGGTGAGTAGTCACGCCAACTAATCAAACTAAACTAACTAGTTGCACTGAAAAAAAAATCTCTGTGTATTTACTAAGAAAAGGGTAAAATTACCAAGAATTCAGGGTTCTATTTGGACTGAGTTAAGCAGAAAGGAACCAACCCACATTTTGGAAAAAATTGAGTTATGAGTGGTTTTGAACTCAACCACTGCTCTACTATCTATCGCCAAAAATTCAAAGGTTTTGTTGGAGCAAATTTTGCAGAAATTGAACTTGAAGTTTATCTTTTACATTGAGTCTTATGCAGGAGCCAAACTTTAAACCTCTTTTTCTCGGTTCGATCCCGATGTGACTTGGTTCCTTTCTGTTTAACTCCGTCCATTTGATTCCAGTTTTCTCTTGGTAAAATTACCATTTATGGAATTGGTAATTTTAACGAGAAATCTCGGTAAAATTATTGACTTTCTCGGTAATTTTACTGAACCCCGGTAAAAACGCCAATATTTTGTATCGACTGTGGTAGAATTACCGAGATAAAATGGCAAAGTTACCGGGAATTGATTACCAATAAAAGTGGTATTCTTACCTGAAAAAACGGTAAAAATACCGGGTTTTAGGGAAGCTCACCAGTCTGTCTTGGTAAAATTACATTTACTTTAATGAAAATTGAACATTTTTAAGTTACCGCGCGTGTGTGTGTATGTTCTCACTGATTCAATTAAATAATTTATCAATTTTTACGCTTACAACACTATAAAAATCAGAATAATCCTACTTATCTCTTTGATTTTCCTTTTTTCAGACCAGCGGGCCGGATCTCTCGAAGTAAAATCGGACTCTGATGAGAAAGTAGCCCCCCGGAACATTTCGAACACACCTCTCAATGAAGGCCCAGCAGTTTCGACGAAGAGAACCCGGGGATCCAAAGAACCACTCAACTGCAGCTATTGCTCCCGCTCTTTTCAATTGAAAACCCTCCTAAGTCGACATTTGCGAACACACACCGAGGAGAAACGATTCAGGTGCAGTCAATGCCCCGCCGCCTTCGCTGAGAAAAGTAGACTACACCAGCACACGCTGATTCACACCAACGAGAAACCGTTCCGTTGTAGACATTGTCCCGCCTCGTTCGCTTTAGTAAGTTATTTAAATCAACACATGCTCACGCATACCGGCGAGAAACCTTACGAGTGCAGTCAATGCACCGCCTCTTTCACTCGTAAGCGAGGTTTACAGGTTCACATGCTCACGCATTCTGTCGAGAAGCCGTTCAGATGTAGCCATTGTCCCTCCTCTTTTGCGACGAAAGACCGTTTGGTGATGCACTTGCGAACACATACCGGCGAGAAACCCTTCAGTTGCAGTCAGTGCTCTGCCTCTTTCGCTCAGAAAGGTACTCTAGAAACGCACATGTTAGGGCACACGGGTGAGAGACCATTCACCTGCGGTCAGTGTTCCCTGTCTTTTATTCACAAGTACCAACTGAAGGAACATATGCGAAATATGCATTGCGAATGCATCCTTGCGGAAAACCATAATTCTTTTGAATTCTAGAATCCCTTTATACTGAGAGTCAAGACAACACCCCTCATGGAGTCACAAACGGGAATAAAGATTACACAAATTGAACGTTTTTCGTAATCTTTGATCGGCTCATTCTTAAATTCCTTTCTCCGTCCCTTCTCCCATTCCGTTTGTTCCTTGTCGAACCCGAAATTTCTCGGTCCATTCCAGATTATAATCTTTGCAATTGGTGAAAATGTAATCTTTATCCCCGTTTGTGACACTGTGAAGGCCTAAAATCCGGTTAACCAATCAGAAATGGATTCGCATTGTCTTGACTCTCAGTCTAAAGGACGCTATTGAATTCAATCTGTGAGTTCCTCTCTCGTTGGTTACTTCACTCTCCAAACCATCTTCCTATTGGTCGAAGTAATAACCGAGATTTTTTCTTAAATGGCGGTTTCTGTTTCTGGTCGTTTCTTTGGAAGAACCCCTAGTAGCAGTGGCTGTTGAGAAAAGTTGTAAAAAACCCGTAAATTTTAAGAGAACTTAAAATTTATTTTAAGCCACCCTCTCCGGTGGGCTTTCCGTCCGTCAGCCCTTCATTTCCGGTTGCACCGGTCGAATCTGACTCGCGGTTCAAGTCCCTTAAAACTACATTAAGAACGCCTTCAATTCAATGCTTCTGCTCTAAATACAGCAAAGCATTCAGAAATGTATGCTCGGTGTACGGTTAGTGGTATCAACGCCTTCTCGAAGGCGCTTCTTGTTGGCGCAACGATCGCTCTACCGGTGCGTTCAAGTTCCCGCCGATTTTAATGACTGATCAATTTATTTTGGAGAGAATTTTTGGAAGCGATACAAACTGAATGACAAGCACAATCTCCAGTAAGGTGAAACCACCAGTTACAGACACCCTTAAGCAGATTTTGATTTTTTTCCCCCATAACTTTTGATAAATTGAACCAAATTCATTCATCTTGGGATTAAATGAACGCTAAGGGTTTATACTTTCTAATGAACTAGTATTTTTTTACTATTCATGTTAGTTACTATATTTGAAACTCTCAATAATCACAAAATGAACTCCTCGCCAGTTATAGACACCCCAAAAGTGCTTGGCACCAGTGATAGACACTTTAGGCACTGATTACAGACACCCCCTAAGATTCTTATTGTTTTCTCTTTTTTCCTGACAAAACTGAGTCTTTCACTGCATCTCACATCTCATTCCAAACATTTAAGTGCTGATAAGATCCTCCAAGCTGCCTCAATGAGGTTACTTTAGGCAGTAATTTTATAAACACCCAATTATTTACGGTGGTTGCGACTTATGCACTGTACTTAAGTGGAGTGGATTGTCTGAAAGTTCACTTTTGTCAGAAATTGAGCAGATTGAAAACAAGCAGTTCCAACGCCAAAGCGCTGGAGGGCGCTTCTTTGAAGCATATTGTGCTGAAATGATGAAAATTTCACCTATAACTTAAAACACTTCTCCAGAGGCGGTTCCAGCAATTCCGCAACACCACCTTTTTTCCATTTAAACCTATGCGATTTAATTGATTCTTGTTGAAGCACTTGGCCTCTTCAAGAGTCGATGCATTTACATAGGATTAAATGCAGAAAATGCTGTGTTGCCAATTTGCTGTAACCGCCAATGACTACCCAAGTAGCATGGATTGCAATTTCATTGCAATGGATTGTGAGTTTAATGTAATTTTTGCTTGTTGCCTATACGTTCATTTGAAGGCGTTGAGAAAGTTGCAATTATATTGGAATGAGTTTGCAAGAAATGTAGGTTATGCTTGTTGCCTAACCTTTCTTTTCAAGGCACTATAAAGACTGCAATTTCGGTGCAATCTTGTTGAAACAAATTCGAGCGCCGGCAAGCCCCACGAAGCGCGATGTCTATTTATCGACTTGACCGGCCATTAATATTACTTTCCCCGTGGCCGAGCGGTAGAGTCTTCGCTTACCGACTCGATGAACACGGGTTCGACACCTGCTTCTTGATCTTGGTTTTAGGATACGCCGCATTGCGTTTTCACAAGTTTTATTTATTTTTAACACACACACCAGGAGGTCCGCCCCTGGCCGCTGGAAAATTTAGAGGTTGAAATTTAAACGTCCTTAATATTGAAATTTCTTTGTAAAAAAAATTGTAACTTTTTTACAATGAGGGGGTCAGATGTTGTAAAATAATTGAAATTTTCTTGCAAAAAAGTTGAAATCCCCTGGAAATTTTATTTCATTTTAATTGCAATTTTTTCGTTGCAAAATGCTACTTTGGTATATAAAATGAATTTTTTTCACTCCTGAAATAAGTAAATAAATGGTCATTAGGTATTTAAATTTTTTATTATCATTGTAAATTATACATAGAATTCTATACAATTTATCGGTAACATCTTCACAGTGCAGGTATTTTGTTGACTTTACAAAAAGTTCATTACAACGGACGTTTCAATATTTACGGTGAAAGTATTAATTCATATGAGTTGGTTTCATGTTTTACAATTGTTAATTAGTACAAGTAAATAAAAAAATAAGAATAACATGAAATCCGTTAAATTGCAACTATTTAGGAATGATCACTGTCTTTTAAGTTCAAGTAAAATTTCATACCGTAGGGTGGAGGAGAGAAAAAATACACACCTATTCAAATTTTTCAATTTTTTGGGTTTAACTGACGACTGGGAGGAAGGCTGAATTGAGGTATCCCCCTTCTTCACTTCGACTTTTGGCTTGGAAGCTGCATTTAAAAGAGAGGTTGTTGCTTCCTTGGCATGAACAGGAACATCCTTGGAGACACTGAAAAAACAAATTCAATAATTTAGATTTTTATTAAAATTAATTTTTATGTCATTATCTTTCAAAATGTACGTTTTTATTGATATTCTCAAAGCATATTGGGAAATACAGCTCATGTGCAGACTGAAAAATTGTGCGAGTGTGCAGGCGTTATCGCCATTCAGTTCTTCTCTTGAGGAGATTATATTTTGCGTGAGAATAATGAAATTACTTTGGAAAATTTTTGCGATTAAAAACGTGTAACATGGAAAATGTTCTGATCAAAGCTTTGATGCATAAATTAGTATTCACGCTTACTTCTGAAAAATTATGTACCGAAAAATTTTCTTACATTTCCTATGATTTACCTGACTACAAACTGATATTTTCAGGTTCCTGAAAATTCCCTGAATAACGCCGACATTGAACATTTTCCAAGAGGCAACAATGCAGTACTAAGTCGTGGACAGATATTTTTATGAATAAGTTTAAAACGTTCAAGTAAAATTTCTTACCGTAGGGTGGAGGAGAGAAAAAATACACACCTATTCAAATTTTTCAATTTTTTGGGTTTAACTGACGACTGGGAGGAAGGCTGAATTGAGGTATCCCCCTTCTTCACTTCGACTTTTGGCTTGGAAGCTGCATTTAAAAGAGAGGTTGATGCTTCCTTGGCATGAACAGGAACATCCTTGGAGACACTGAAGAAACAAATTCAATAATTTAGATTTTTATTAAAATTAATTTTTATGTCATTATCTTTCAAAATGTTCGTATTTATTGAAATTCTCAAAGCATGATTGCGTCATGATTGCACAAACTTTCTACAAGGCCCTCTCTCTGAAAACAAGGCAAAATAAGATTCACTTATTCAGCAATAAAAAGCCAGAGAGATTCCTTATTTCAGCACTCCATTCAGTTCTTCTCTTGAGGAGATTATATTTTGCGTGAGAATAATGAAATTACTTTGGAAAATTCTTGCGATTAAAAACGTGTAACATGGAAAATGTTCTGATCAAAGCTTTGATGCATACATTAGTATTCACGCTTACTTCTGAAAAATCATGTACCGAAAAATTTTCTTACATTTCCTATGATTTACCTGACTACAAACTGATATTTTCAGGTTCCTGAAAATTCCCTGAATAACGCCGACATTGAACATTTTCCAAGAGGCAACAATGCAGTACTAAGTCGTGGACAGATATTTTTTATGAATAAGTTTAAAACGTTCAAGTAAAATTTCATACCGTAGAGGTTGAGGAGAGATAAAATACACACCTATTCACATTTTTCAACTGTTTGGGTTGAACCGACGACTGGGAGGAAGACTGAGTTGAGGTATCACCCTTCGTCACTTCCACTTTTGGCGTGGAAGCTGCATTTAAAAGAGAGTCTAAGTCCTGTGGAAGGGAGGAAGTATCGGATGATCCCAGAGTAGGAACAGAGTGTAAGACTGTATGATTCTGGACGATTGAAGCATCAGTGACGGGAAGATCAACAGAAATTGTTTCAACACTCTCATTCTGCACTTCAGGTTTTAAAGTTTTCCACATTGAAAACAGAGTATGATCTTCTACAGGGATTTGATTCTTCCAGTCTACATTTCTTTCGTGACATTTAAAATTTGCAAGGGTTTCAGGAGTGATATTTGACTCAAAAGAATTAAAGAAATCATCACAATTGCTGTTACTTTTTGTGAGAAGATGTTTGGGTTGCCTTTAATTAATATGATAAGTTTAATAGAAATTTATGATGGATTGAAATGAACTGCAACCAAAACAACTTTCACCTTCTTACCTAATTTATTCTAGATAAGGAATTCAAGGGAAATTAAATGAAGAGTCGGACTCAGTACGTTTGAAGTCTTTCGGCTATGTATATTGAGGAAAATAACAGATTTAGTATTACAGATATTAGAAGATAAATGAAGTTACAATTAATGAATTTTACAGATAAATTGGTTACGGAAATTTTAGTATGAAAGTTGGAGTGGAAAAATTGGTAGAGGAAAGATATGGGAAATAATGAAGGATTTTTAGGATGATGAGATGTTTTACCTTAGCGCACCATAAACTGAAGATGTTGAAATTTTGCGTGTAACGTACGCGGCCGGATTTGCGTGTAACGAACGCTGTCGAATTTGCGTGTAACGTACGCGTCCGAATGTAACTTACGTGTTACCACCGAATTAACACTTAACGCGTGTAAAACGAAGTGAGTGTAAAGTACTCGGACTATTTGTGTTGTACGTAACACCGTCGAGGTTTGAGTTGTAACGAAACTCCGTCGCAGTCACTAAATTGTAACCGGAGCCTTAACGAGACTCAATCGAAACCACTAAATTGTGGCATAGTGCTTGAGGGCACAACCCTGGGTTTGGAGCAGAGATGCTTTAAGTAAGAAGGATAAAATAAGATTGAGTCAAGAGCGCATCGAGATTTGCTGAGGACATCTCGGACGCTTGACAGCGCAGGACATGAATTCGACATCGCATGAAGAATTTCGGCGCCTACGTTATTGATTTGAGGTGACTCATCAAGAAAGGCGAGGGAAAGAATTCAGTTAGCAACAGAGACTTCGGTTAGCAACAGAATTATTGACCTCACATTTTCTCACTCTCCAGCTCGCTCGTATCATTAGTAGTTTCAGCATCATCAGCTGTTAAAGAGCATGGAATTTTATTGAAGTCAACTTGTGAGATATCCTAAGGCACCAGTCCACACTTACGAAAACCATTTTGCAGAATCTTTGGTGTGACAGATGAGTTGACGGCAGTCTGAAGGACCTTCGCAAAGTGAATTTTTTTAAATTCAGTACTACTATTTGCAAGTCTGAATGCAGTAACTGCTTCCTTAAAGGACTTCTTTAAAGGTCTAAAAATTGCTACGTCCATAGGTTGTAGGAGATGAGTAGCATTGGGGTAGAAGCAAATTAAAATTATTCCTTTCTCTTGGCAAAATTGACTTATGGGGAGTGATAGATGTGACGAGTGGCCGTCTACAAACAGTATAACCGGCAAAGGTATTTTTGATGCGATAAGCCATGGATGAAACACATTTGCAATATGCTCGTAAAAGGTTTCATGCGTCATCCAACCAGATGACGATTTCCCTAAACCCCACTCTTTTGGGACCGATTCAACCAGGTCTTTTGGGAGTCTTTCGTAACTAAACAAAACAAGAGGAAGAGCAATCATGCCACCAGAATTTCCTGTCATTAAAACAGTTATACATTCTTTTTCATCGGAATTTACTGCACGATAAATACTTTTATTACTACGCGGTACAATAACAAGTTCGCCTTTCGGACAGAGAAAAATGCAGCCTCGTCGCAGTTGAAAACTCGGTTAGGGTCCTCAAAAATCTCCATGTTTCCATGTTCTGTCAAATATGCTTGGACTTCATGGCTCCACGCAGTGATTTGAGCTTTAGTCACTGCTCCTCGAGAGCTTGTTAAATTTTGAGGCGTTCGGATGATCAAATTAGGGTGCCTACGAAGAAAACCTGCATACCAAGATTTTCCTGGTAAGTCATTTTTGGAAGGGTTAGCCAATCCCTTTTCTTTGATGTACTTGCTAATGCAGCTAAAAAGGACACTTTTTGTTATGGGGAAACCAGCGCGTGCCATTTTTTTAAGCCAGTCCTCTATTCTGTTTTCATCCGGATCCGTCAAAATACACTCGGGACCCATTTTCCTACCCTCCGGATATTTTCCATCATATTTGTTGAGCAAGGTGATCCGAGGGACCTCATGTTCCCTCGTAGCCCTCTTGATGGACATCCCTTCCCGCACAGCCTTGAGCGCCTCCTCCATCGCTGATTCAGGATATTGTAGTTTTTTAGTAACATGCCTTTTCTGCTTAACTGGCTTCTTTCTAGCATTATTTTGTCGCCTTTTGCGTGATATCTGAAATGGGAATCATAAAAGTTATTTAGATAAATATAATGCAAAGGATTGTACATAGTAGTGACATAATTTAGAACATAACTAATTGAGCGTTTGATTCTCAGAAGTGCCGCTCCTTTTGCACAGAAAATTAAAACAAGGTAAGCCGTAGTCATGTTGCGCAGGTAGTAATATTTAACCGAGTATGTTTTCAAGTCTCAATTCCTGTTTTATATAGTTTTATTCTTTAATTAAAGCCAACAGTACCTAAATATCTCAAAAATTCAGTCAGAAATTGATATTGTGTCCATAGCTAGGTCTGAGTATTATTCCCCAGCACTGGTTATAGACACCCCCGTGTCTGTCACTAATGCAGTAAGCAAATTAGAGGATGAGTGATGGACACCCCTTATTAATAAATTGCAAGAGGATTTTAGTCATCAAAGCATAGGAAAATTGAATTCTCATACCCTCAAAATTGTATTTAAATCATAAACTTACCTTGGAAGCTCCCTGATTTGTTGCCACAACACTAGCAGTGATCACAGGTCTCTTGAGAGGTTAGGTTAGAACCTTCTCCATTTTGTTGTGGTTTCTAATAGCCATCTTTTAACCTTCAATCTCTCATCTTTGGTTGAGTTCACTGTTGCCGAACTTGGATTTCAAATGATCACTTGAGAATGTGGGTTGAATTAAAAACAACAACACAAAGAACCGAGTCACTTCTTTCTTATTATTGCCATATTTAGACGAAGGGTGTCTATAACACATTTTTGGGGTTGTCTGTAACTGGTGGTTTCACCATAAAGCCCAGCGAAGATAAATTTCATTTACCTGGAGGCTACCTTTGGGTACGTTGCCCCTTCATTTCCGGTCGGCACTGGTTTTGTTGACTTTCGTTGCGTTGAGCCCTCGTTCCCGGTCGATACTGCAAGCTGCGATCGATTTCCGGTACGTTGCCCATTCGTTTCCGATCGATACCGCACTCTCCGGTGGACTTTCGGTCCGTCAGCCCTTCATTTCCGGTCGCTCCGGTCGAATCTGACTCGCAGTTACAGGCCCGGACCGAATTTGCGGTTCAAGTCCCTCAAAACGACACCAAGAACGCCTTCAATTCAATGCTTCTGCACTATATACAGCAAAGTATATAGAAATGTATCCTAGGTGTACGATTAGTGGTATCAACGCCCTCTTGAAGGCGCTTCTTGTTGACGCGGCGATCTCTCTACTTGTGCGTTCAAGTTCCTGACGATTTTCACGATGGATCAATTTCTTTGAGCCACAAATTTTGTAATCATCTAACTTACGGAATTCTAAAGGGTTATTTTTCACTCTCACTTCTGTAACAACTTGAATTTTTCAAGTTTTAAATGTTGCCTTGATTTAGACCTGTAAATAATTTTATATCGATTCCTCTCAAATTAGATTGCCACTAATATTTGAATTGTGATCCCGCTTTCTATCTTTGCCATATATTTGCCTCAGCAACGCCTTATAAGTCTTCAGATGTTGCTAAATTTCTTTTGATACAAGACTAAGACCCTTCGTTTTCGATCGATGCCACACTCGCCGGTGGGCTTTCCGTCCGTCAGCCCTTCATTTCCGGTTGCACCGGTCGAATCTGTTAAATAGGCGGAATACGACGCCGGAAGTGGATTTTCTATCTACAGGATCAGATGCCCAATCGGCATCAACAAGGGCATCGAGGATTGTTGAACTATCAACAGGTTTGGTAATAGTAAGAGATATATCCCTGGTGTGATGAAGGTATTTCAAAATACGATGGACGTACTTATAATGTTCCGAGGAGAAGGAATTTTGAAAACGGCTTAGATAATCTACGGGTGGATTTAGTCAGTCTTTTGACCAGAAACTGAAACAATTTCCACATGAGGCCTTTGAACTTGTATTACGCTGTAACTTCGAAGACGGTGCTGATCAATCATATGATAAAATCGAGGACGATGGGTACGAGCTGGAGGAAATACCGGAATTATGTGTTGAAGAAGAGGAACTTACAGGAAAGTTCAACTTCGATGAGCAGAAAAATCCCACAGCACTAGTGGTTTTCCTGTATCACTCTGGCTTTCCTGAGCATCAGTAGCTATGACAACACAACTTCTCGTTACATTCTGAATATTACCAATCTCGAGCTCAGAACTAATCTTGCTAAACGTCTTACCTTCACTTTGACCGGCATTGCTTCAAGAGAAATGGTAACCTGCGGAACCGAGATGGTACAACATCTTGCGAAACACGAACGGCAATCTTTCATTAACACGTTAAAAGCTCAGCTCAGTGGCATTCCATACAACATCATAACACACCAGCGGAAACAAATTGAAGCTCTTTTTCAGATCTCTTTGTACGAAACCCTCAAACGGTGCACCTTAAAGTCTGTGTCTTGGACCATGCCTGTTCGGGAGTATTCAACAAGCAGAGGGCAATCAGATATTGTAATGACCATTGGGGATACAGTTTATATATTTGAGTTGAAGATGGATGACAATCTGGAGAATTCACTTCACGAATGCAAAGAAAAATACCTTCCTGCATTCCTACGCGGGTCGGCAGAAAACGTGGCGTGCTTTGGAATGAAGTTCCATCGGACTGGAGATGTTACTAGCTTCGGAGTGGCAATATTTTCAAGAACAGGCAAGCTACATACAGAGGTCGGTGAAATTAAGTTACCTACTTCATTCAACAAGACAGAAGCGCAATATATAACACACCTAGTGAACAAGTTCCGAGAAAACCACGTACACTCTACAATTCGACCTGATAACTCTGATAAACAGATTGCGTGTGAACAAGTAACTGCAATGAAACTTGTCGATAAGTTCACAAATAATAAACTGACATTTTGTCTTCTCTTGGACGAAACTAGGAAAGTGTTACCTAAATCCTATGATAACTTGAAAGGCGCAATACATCGCCTTCTAAACCAATTAAAATTCTCGCCAAAAACGAAACAAATAATTAATAAAAAAGTTGACTTAAAAAATCTTTTAAGAAAGCGATTTTTATTGGAGTTTCTGTAGTGGTATTTCATATTTGCCGCCCGTGGTGACACGTGACACCTGCTTCAGATCCTCCATATTGGATCCCTTGTTGAATGTACGTTTCATGTAGCTTAGCACGTAGAGAAAATACAGAAGGTGGTGGTAAGCGGAGAAATGTACTTTTCTACGTCAGAGCTAAAAATGAAGCCGCTCTTCTGATTGGTTAAGAGGATCGCGGGAATTCCGAGACCTCTTTGAAATTTAAAGAGGAGCGGGAAAGGTTGTGAGGTTCCCACTTGGTTTGGCTCTAAAAACTCGAAACGATGACTTCTTATGTTTCATTTAAATTAATCATTGTATATAGCACCTATATTCATTGTAAATAGCTAGGGACTGTCTCCTGACCGACCCACCTATTCAATATTGTATATACATTATAGCTAGCATAATTAGGATTAATACTCTGTAGTTACCTATCTCACTAATAAAGAAAAAAAAATGCTTCATTATGTTTTCTATCAATGTTCGACTGTAACTGAAAATAATTTGTAAGTTAAGAATATATATTTCATATAATAACAGCTTTTATCTCGACTCGTCCCGTTTGAAGGTATGAACATGTTAAATTACGTTCTGTGCGTCAAAAAAGCAGAAATTGGAGAGTCATGGTAACTAATGTTTAATTATATGACTTTCAATTTGTTAGTTTCAGTGGTGATTTAGGTTTTTATACAGGCTTTTTTAACACAATTTTCATCGCTGTTGACAAATTTAACGCACACATCGCCTCTAGTCACGCACTATCGCCGAATTTATTTTCACGCATAGGCCGTGTCAAATCAAATGTGAAGGAATGCACATATTTCTGGCTGGAAAAAATACGTCCAACTGATTCTACCTCTTCTTCACAAAACATGAGGGGGAGGATGAGGAATTGGCACAGTAAACGCATGCGTTGAGCGGTATGTTATTTCGTTGAATATTTGCTACTGCTTAGATGGCAAAGTGGCTTGAAACAGGGGGTTTTCCCTGTATAATTGCTGTACGCAAAGAGCCTTGTTAAAAATGGGTCGAAATTCGCCCCTTTTTAGGCCCTCGATTTTGCAAACGAGAATTGTGCCAAATTATTGCATATGATGCCCTAAGTCTCTGGTAAAAATTTCAGCTTGAGTTGAAAAGTGGTTTCGGAGATACGGGGGGGGTGAAGTGGGGGAGTTGAGCGGCTGGCGTGCGCTATTTCCGCGGCTGTTCCTCGCCAAATCTTCGTTTTGATGTCACCCGTTACATGTTTTTCTATGTAATTTTTTGCGTACTATCCATTTCTGGCCTTAAAAATTACTTACAACCACTTTTCAAGGCACTAGGAGGTGAAAATAGGGGTTGAACGGCCAGCGGCGCGCTCTTTCCTTGGCTGTTCCTCGCCAAATCTTCGTTTTGATGTCACCCATCACATGTTTTCCTGGGTAACTTTTCGCGTACTTTCCGTTTCTGATCTTAAAAATTACTTACAACCACTTTTTAAGGCGCTAGGGGGTGAAAGTGGGGGTTGAGCGGTTGGCGGCGCGCTCTTTCCGCGGTTGTTCCTCCCCAAATCTTCGTTTCTATGTCATCCATTACATGTTTTCCTATGTAATTTTTTGCGTACTTTCCATTTCTGGCCTTAAAAATTACCTAAAACCACTTTTAAAGCGACCATGAATTTTTTTCGCATTTTTTTTTTTTTTTTTTTTTTTTTTTTTTTTTTTTTTTTTTTTTTTTTTTTTTNTTTTTTTTTTTTTTTTTTAATTGATTTTGTATTATTCCCTAAGATCTATTCGTGCCGTATATTTTCACGTTTTCTCAGTGTACCTCCCACGTCGCACGAGAAAATATATACGCATGATTTTATCGGAACTTAAATGTTTACACGCCAAAATGACATGGCAAATATGGGGAAAAATCTGAGATATGCCCCGGGCAGGACATTAATCTGATTAATAAAAAATCTGTCCTTTACTTCGTTACTTATTTATTTAAAAGCAGCCATTACCAGCGTTTACGCCGTATTTAAGGATATTATGACCACAGATACATTTACACGTTCACGCTGAAAGACCAATCGTCATTCTAATTAAGTCAAGGGAAGTATGAAAAATTAAGAGCTATGGCAAGTTATCGATTTAAAAATGTGCCTCCCCCCTCATGAAAGCTTTAAAGCTTTACTTGATGATTCTGCCATTACCCTACCATCTCCCTTCTACGAACGCTCGTCCTTGCATATCATTTAGGCGTGTAAACATTTATGTTCGGATAAAATCATGCGTATATTCTCGTACGACGTGTGAGGTACACTGAGAAAACGTGAAAATGTACGGCACGAATAGATCTAAGGGAATAATACAAAATCAATTAAAAAAACTCAAAAAAAGAAGAAAAAAAATGCGAAAAAAATCATGGGCCCTTGAAAAGTGGTTTTAGGTAATTTTTAAGGCCAGAAATGGAAAGTACGCGAAAAATTACATAGGTAAATATGTAATGGATGACATAGAAACGAAGATTTGGCGAGGAACAACCGCGGAAAGAGCGCGCCGCTAACCGCTCAACCCCCACTTTCACCCCCTAGCGCCTTAAAAAGTGGTTGTAAGTAATTTTTAAGATCAGAAACGGAAAGTACGCGAAAAGTTACCCAGGAAAACATGTAACGGGTGACATCAAAACGAAGATTTGGCGAGGAACAGCCGCGGAAATAGCGCACGCCAGCCGCTCAACTCCCCCACTTCACCCCCCCGTATCTCCGAAACCACTTTTCAACTCAAGCTGAAATTTTTACCAGAGACTTAGGGCATCATATGCAACAATTTGGC